TATCTCCTGACCTCTTGATCCACCTGCCTCGGCCTCCCAAAGTGCTAGGATCACAGGCATGAACCACTGCACCTAACCGTTTTTTTTTTTTTTTTTGAGATGGTGTCTTGCTCTGTCACCTAGGCTGGAGTGCAGTGGTGCCATCTCGGCTCACTGCAGCCTCTGCCTCCTGGGTTCAAGTGATTCTCCTGCTTCAGCCTCCCGAGTAGCTGGGACTACAGGCACCTGCCACCACACCCGGCTAATTTTTTGTATTTTTAGTAGAGATGGGGTTTCACCGTGTTAGCCAGGATGGTCTCGATCTTCTGACCTCATGATCCGCCTGCCTTGGCCTCCCAAAGTGCTGGGATTATAGGCATGAGCCACCATGCCCGGCCTATGAGCCTCTTAAGGGCAGAACTGTCGTTGACACCACTTTCTGCTGTAGTCATGGGCATCCTGCCATTCATACAAATCTTGCAAATGCTTGGGAGTCAGTTTCCTGATGGTGCTTTAACCATCGGTTTGTTAAATCGATGGATGTTCTGAATGTAGAGCAGTATGAAAGCCCCAAGAGAATGCCAATATAATTTTAAATATCAACTATGTTAAAATGAGTATTCAAACAACAGCAGTCATAGTGGTGCCTTTACTCTCACAATCCTGATAAAAACTGTGTCATAAGATTATGCTGAATTAGCTACTTATCAAGGTTTTTTTGAAGAACTGTCTTGAAGAGTTTGCTTCTATGTATCTATCTATCTTTTTTGTTTTTTAGCTGAAAAAGATAAAAAGATAACAATTTCTTCTTTGTAGAGTTAGAGCTCTCTGTTGGTATGTTTGAGAACTGAATCTGTTTCAGAAGTGTGAAGACTGCATTGCTGTAGATCACACTGGAGTAACCCTCCTGAGCATGCAGCCTTTTTCAGGGATGTGTGTTAGTCAGCTTGTGCTCCATAACAAACCACCTGATACTAGTGGCTCAAAAAAAACCAAACATTTCTTTCTGTACCTCACAGCTCTGTAGGGCACTGGGATCGTTCTGGCTTGAGCGAGCCTGGCTGGTCTTTGCAGTTAGCTGGCAGCTGGCTGGGCTGTGTGGTTTAGGATGGTCTGACCCACCCATCAGGTGCTCGGTAGGCTGACCTGTGGCAGGGACTCAGCGGTGATGGCGCGTCCCCACTCCATGTGGTCTTCTGCAATCCGCCAGCCAGGGCGGGGCATTTTGAAGTTGCAAGAGAGGGAGAGCCCCCACGCGCCAGGGCCCAGCGTTATGCTTGTTGTTATCCTGCTGGCCAAGCCCAGAGTGCAGGAAGGGACTCCCTAGGGTAAGGACGGAATAGAGGACTTTATAGCAGCGATCTGCCCAGACACGCGATCTGCCCAGACACGCGATTTGCCTGTGTACTTCAGTCAGTGTCCCTAAATCCTGTGCTAACCTCTGTCTGGGGACGTGAGGCCATATCATGGAGAAAATTAAACAGGCTGGCACAGCTACAGAGTTTTCCAAAGGAATTTACAGACCCTAGTTTTCCTGAAATACTTAACAACCATTTGAAGTTCCTTTCAACATTTTATGTTTTGAAGAAGCTTCATGCTATAAAAACAGGGAGCCTTTCATCCACTCTCAGTAAATATCCCAAATTGATCTTCAGCAAGTACACACTGGTGCTAGACCTGCTGTGGGCATAAAGGCTCCGGCCGTTTATTGAGACTCCAGTGTGCCTGTGCCATATACATCCCACTTCCTTCCAACACCGACCCTTGATGTCAGCATCATTATCCCCATTTTACAGATGAGGAAGCTGAGTCAGAGGTCAGCTCAGTTGTTTGAGGTCAGGCAGCTAGTAGGTGGTGGGCTACATTTTGAACCCAGGTCTTTCTGAGTCTACAGCTACAATCCAAAGAATTCCTAATGTGGGGCAGGCACAGTGGCTCACGCCTGTTATCCCAGCGCTTTGGGAGGCCAAGGCAGGTGGGTTGCTTAAGAGACCAGTCTGGCCAACACAGCGAAACCCTGTCTCTACTAAAAATACAAAAATCAGCCAGGTATGGTGGTAGGCACCTGTAATCCCAGCTATTCAAGAGGTGGAGGTTGCAGTGAGCCAGGATCACACCACTGTGACAGAGCGAGACTTTGTCTCTAAATAAATAAATAAATAAAATACAAAGAATTCCTAATGAGTTGATAGGGTTTTTTCTTCCATGTTCGTAGTTTGATGGCTTTTTTTCTTTGAGATAGAGTCTTACTCTGTCACCCAGGCTGGAGTGCTGGTGTGATCTCAGCTCACTGCAACCTCTGCCTCCCAGGTTCAATTGGTTCTCATGCCTCAGCCTCCCAAGTAGCTGGGACTACAGGTGTGTGCCACCATGCCTGACTAGTTTTTTTGTAGAGACAGAGTTTCACCATGTTAGCCAGGCTGGTCTTGAACTCCTGACCTCAAGTGATCCTCCTGCCTTGACCTTAAGTAGTTGGAGCAAATAGCTTAGGTTCAGTTTGATGATAAATAGCTCAGAATAGAAACTTCACAGCTATTTCCAGATGTCACTTTAAAATATTTTAGAATACCTGATTTCTCTATGAACTATCCAAACTAAAATTCACAGTCTTGAGTTATTCCAGGACATAGATTTAAAATTTAATCAGAAAATAACCTTCATTTAGGAAATGAGGGACCAGGCATGGTGGCTCCACGCTTGTAATCCCAGCACTTTGGGAGGCTGAGGCGGGTAGATTGCTTGAGCCCAGGAACTTGAGACTGGCCAAGGCGACATAGCAAAACACCATCTCTACAAAAAATATAAAAGTTAACCAGGCGTGGTGGTGCATGCCCCAGCTACTTGGGAGGCTAAGGTGGGAGGATCCCTTGAGCCTGGGAGATGGAGATTGCACTGAGCCGAGATCGTGCCACCGCACTCCAGCCTGGGTGACACAGCAAGATACCATCTCAAAAAAAAAAAAAAAAGAAAAGGAAATACACCATATCCCACTGTGTGGCACCCCTTCCTCTTCTCCCCACTGCAGCCATAGCACATTGCACATAAACTGCATCTTCATACTTATCTAGGTATTGTATCTGCCTGGATTAGTCTGTTCCTGTCACTAAATGTGAACTCCTTGGACACAGACAGCTTGTCTTTCATCTCTGTATCTGCCCCTAGCACCTGGCATAGTAACTGGAACATGCCAATTTGTATCATATGACTTTATTAATTTATTTATTTATTCAGAACTGAAAAAGAACTTTATTTATTGAGGGCAAGGGGATGCAAACAATACAGAAATCAAAAGCCTGTCTGGCGTTTAACTTTTCTTTCTCTGCTCATCAAATGGGAGTTAGATTTTATTTGTACACTTGCTAAGGGTCCTGATCTGCTCATGAAATCCTTATATGGGGGAAGCTGTGGGGCAGATTCCTTAAGCGACCCTTTAGGGCAGCTCTTATCAGGGCCTGGGGAATTGGTCGTTTCTGCCTACTTTTTTCCCCTCTGCTTTATGTGTACTATGAAATAGTCTTGTGTGCAACGGTGAGGCCCGCAATTAGGGAAAAGAAGCTCTGGAAGCCCACTTTGCCATCTCTGCACTGGTCCAGGTCCTTCATTATTTTGTCCATGGCCAGAGGGTCTTTTTGATTTTCCAAAAATCCAGGGAACTCCTTTTCCATGAGTAATCTCAGGTCCTCCTTTGTTAAGTAGCCTTTATCCCCAGCAAATTTGTGAAATGTAAACATCATGGTTTCCATGGCATGTTCCATTTGAGATGGCATTTTGGTGTGGTCTGTTGAAGCCTTGGCAGAGTTGTGGCGGACGCTGGGCTAGCTAGACGCGGGGCAGCCAAGCGAGCGCGGCGGACTGTGCTCCTTTGTATGTGCGGCAGGTGCGCTATTTATTTCTTTATTTTATTGAGATGGAGTCTTGCTCTGTTGCCCAGACAGGAGTACAATGGTGTTGTCTCGGCTCACTGCAACCTCCACCTCCTGGGTTTAAGCAGTTCTCCTGCCTCAGCCTCCTGAGTAGCTGAGATTACAGACACAGGCCACCATGCCGGCTAATTTTTGTCTTTTTAGTAGAGACGGTTTTCACCATGTTGGCCTGCTGGTCTCCAGCTCCTGACTTCGAGATCCACCCTCCTCGGCCTCCACCCCCCTCCAGGCCCAGCCTCCATGCCCAGTTATATGATTTTATAACTAAAATTTCATGTCTAGCAATGAAATTCTTCTCTCTTTTTGGTTTATTTTTCTTCTTTTTAGTCCTTTCTTCCCCACCCCACCCCCTTTTTTTTTTGAGACAGAGTTTCACTCTTGTTACCCAGGCTGGAGTGCAATGGTGTGATCTCGGCTCACCGCAACCTCCACCTCCTGGGTTCAAGCAATTCTCCTGCCTCAGCCTCCTGAGTAGTTGGGATTACAGGCACGCGCCGCCATGCCCAGCTAATTTTTTGTATTTTTAGTAGAGACAGGGTTTCACCGTGTTGATCAGGATGGTCTCGATCTCTTGACCTCGTGATCCACCTGCCTCAGCCTCCCAAAGTGCTGGGATTACAGGCGTGAGCCACCGCGCCCGGCCCCCCTTTTCTTTATCTGTCTCAGTTCCTTCCTCTTCTGTAACTCTCCATTTCTCCCAGCATCTGCTGCTGGTCTAGTCTCCTGGCTCTTATCCTTTCTGAGACACAGACTCCTTTAATAAAGTGATGAAGAAAGTTATCTCCCCAGAAGAATACACACAGAAAACACAGAATATTTTGCTATTATTTCAGAGGTTAAGAATGCCAAGAAACCAGGCACAGTGGTTCATGTCTGTGATCTCAGCACTTTGGGAGGCTGAGGTAGAAGAACCACTTGAGCCCAGGAGTTCAAGACTTGAGCCCAGATTAGACCCTGTCTCTACAAAAAAATTTTAAAATTAGCCAGGTGTGCTGGCACATGCCGGTCGTCCCAACTACTCAGGAGGCTGAGGTAGGAGGATTGCTAGAGCTAAGGAGGTCGAGGCTGCAGTCAGCCGTGATTGTGCCGCTGCACTCCAGCCTGGGGTGACAGAGTGAGACCCTAGCTCTAAAAAACAAAAAAAGAATGCCAAGCGTCTAAACTTTGAGCTCCTTGAGGATAAAAACTAGGCTTTTTTCATCCTCAATGCCCAGTATCTTAGTTGATGTTTATTGAGTGTATATGAGTGTGCATATGCCCACAAACAGAAAAGCTGTTGTCAGGAAGGTATTTGTACACTCAGGCTTTCCACTCTGATAGTCATCAGGCACATGTGAGTACTGAGCACTTGAAATGTGGATTGTCCAGATAGGAATGTACTAATTGTCAAATACGCACTGGATTGCACAGGCTTGGGGCAGTACAAACAAAAGAATGTAAGATATCCCACGAATAGTTTTTATGATTATTGCACATTAAAATGATCATATCTTGGATCTACTGCATTAAATAAAGTATATTATTAAAATTAATTTTATCTCTTTATTACTTTCTATAAACAGCTACTAGAAAATTTTAAATTATACATGTAGCTGCTCATAGAAGGTTGGTATCTGGGTTAATTCATTAGTGTAGATTCATAAAAACAGTCATTTTCTTTAGTTTCGTGGATTTGTTGAACTAAAGATCCTATAGGGTTACCACCTTCCCTGTCCCTCCTCCCCTACTACCAAATATTCATGAGAACAAATGGGAAGAATGTACTCTGCTTTTAAAGGTACAGATTTTTCTCTGCTGTCATAAGTATACCTAGAACAGAAGCATTGTTGACTCCAAGTAGTTTCACTAATGAAAAGGAAGCAGCAGAATGACTCATGTAAGTTGGAGGAGACACTGTTTTCTTTGGAATGCTTTGGTTCTTGCATTTTAGGACAGGTGTGGCTGCTGTTGAACCAGCAGAGTCATCCTAGGCACATCTGACGTGAGGAACTGGAGCATTGCTCAGGGGCCCCTGCCTTCTGACTAATGGATGTAGGATCCATCATATATCAGGTTGCTCCTCACCAATACAAACTCTGATACAGAAATGCACTTGGTGTGTTTGCTTTTTCTTTCTGGTTTAGGGCAGAAATATTTTGATTTAGAGACTTTTCTACTGAACTATGACATAATAGGATAAGAATATTGTGTCAAAAATAGCCTCATAAGGTCTTTTTTGACATTAAGAGTTCTGGAGTGAGTTTGCGGTGGATTATTGAGAATAATTCTGTTTATCAGCGGCTGGCCATCTTTGATGAGTGCTGACTTCTCTCCTTTCAGCACAGAGTGGGAATGCCTGCCTCCTGTGACTCTGGATTGGAGTGATCGGGAGTGCACACCAGCCATCCTCTTGCAGAGGTGGGGCACGTGCTGGCACAGAGCCTCAGGTTAGGCCGAAGGGATGCAATCTCAGACCAGCAGCCAGCAGTGTTTATAAACAACAGGAGGGAGATTGTGCTGGCGATTTCCAACTCGCGCCAATGAAGATCAACCAGTTTGCGCTTTGGGCAGCAGGCTGCAGATGGACAGTGCCTCCTGAGGGCATCGCCATGTGCTAGGGATCCGTGTTGCAGGATACCTGCCTGCAAGAGAGAATCAAGGAGTGCTTTTTAAGCCCCTGGAGCTCAGGCCTGGCGTTAAGTAGAGTGGGTGTTAAGTAGAGTGAATCTCCTGAAGTCCAAACTAACATATGACATTTTTAAATTAGGAAAACAAATGGCTCTGAAAAGGTCTAAAGGATTATAGATAAGTATATGATACGGAAAATGTTATAGAGGGTTCAGGAGGTGATGGGGTCATCCAGGGTTGGTTGCACTGAAATTGAATTACCCTGTCTTTTACTCATCTGTGGAAAAGAAAAAAAAAAGAGGAAAATTATGTCCCCCAAAGATGCTTGGAGATTTGACTGGATGTTTGTAAAGTGCTTTGATATCTTTAATAGAGTGTCCGATAAGAGCAAAGCAAACTACAAGTCTGAATCATCTTAAGTAGATACTAAGTGGCTCTGTGTCTTTGTTGTAAGTTGTACTTATATTTTCAAGAGAAAATTTCACATTCTGATATTCTTTTAAGTATCAGCTGTATGCTTGGGGTCTTTACCTGTTAACTTGAGCTCCAACATGCTTTGTAGAGGACAATTTTTCTAGCCAAGCAGTTAAATGCACCTTAAAATGCTTCTTGCCAAGGACAATGCCTTTGCAAATGTTTAAGATATTTATGCTTGGTTGTGATTTTTTACTGAACCTGTGTCTTCATAGCGACTCCTTGGGAGGTACAGGAAGCATAGCCAGAAAGCAAATCCCTGCAATCAGTTCATTATAGAGAATGAAAAAGCTTTTATTTCAAGGTTCTGGTGGATAGACTTACCGATATGTGTATTCTGTGTCTATTTAATTTCACGTAGTGCTGCATCTAATCACGCTGTTTAAATAATCGGACAGAATGTCCTTTTGCTCTGCTTTTGCTTGTGAAGAGCACACAGCACTGCCACCTTGTTGCCAAAGTTTGGTCTGATTTGAATGTGCTTAAAAATCAAGTGAATGCCTGTTGGGAAAAAGCTTACTCCTTCTCTTTGTCAGTACTTGCAAAAACAACTTAAAAGAAGTTAGCATTATTGGACTGAATTCAGTAATTAGCATAATCACGATGCTATGTGTTGTTCACCAGGGCACGCCCCTTGGCCACATTTCCCATTAAGAGGACACCGATGTTGTCCTAGTGAATAAATCCCAGCACACATGATGCAAATCAGCATGTTCCTGCCTGCCGCTCGGCTGCGGTTAATTTTAGCCAGCGTTAGTTCTATGAGTTGTAAAAGTAGAAGTTAGCAAGCTGAAATGTGACTTCTCGGCCTAATGTGATAGGGTATCTATTTTAGACTTCAGATTGTGTATATGATCAGGAGAGCAGTCTTCTGAAGAACTGTGGCTCAGTTTTCTTTGAAACTACTTGTAAGTACTGGGTGGAATTTTAAGACTTCTCTTTGTTCTTTTCTCCTTCTTAAATCTTCCTAATGTTACCGTCATAGTAATGTTTACCTCTTGGGGAAACTGTAAGCTTTGAGGTCCGTACTTTAGAGAAAGCTAAGAAAGGTGGCAAAAGATTTTTCTTTAAATGTCTCCTACTGCAATAAATCTATCTTATTCAATTTTCCCAAGAAAAAGTTTGCGATTCTTATTTTTGCAAAAGCAATCTGTTGATTATTAGTTATTTTATGTTAAAATATTTGATCAATGGATATGGTTTCTGTAAATACAGAAACGTTGTATTGTGTCATTGAGCCTTATTTTCTACTATGGTAACCTAACTCTTGAGAAAAAAATGTTAAAAGTTAATTCCTGTTGTACTCTGTGCTACAAGTTTATGCTATAGAAATAATGGAGTGTCAAAATAATTTTCTTGACGATATAAATGGACATTTAAAAAAATTTTTTTAAGGAGAATTTTGTGCTTAAAAAATAAATCTGCATATGCCTAAAGAGAAGTACTTTTTAAAATTAGGAGGAAGGTTTTTAGAGAATAATTTAAAGCATCCTCTTTTAGACTGAGTTAGTTATCAAAAGTAACCAAAGGCCATGGGATTCTGTAAACTTAACTGCTGTTCATCTAACACGTTATTGCCAACTTAAATTTGTACTGAAGGAAACAAAAGATTTTGATGTCAAATATTTTAAATTACACTTAATCACCTTGCTCATTTAGAAGTGTGTTTTCACTGTGGACTGACTTCATGCCAAACATTGCTTACAGCAGGGAACCAGGCGGGAATTTCTTCATCAATTAGAAAGTAAATGTATCAGCTCTAGGAATATTGATGTTCATGAAACAATTCTCCTAGGCGATACAGTAGGTGCTTATCAGCTATCTGTGCTTATCAGCTATCTATGCTTGTCAGCTCTAGAGTGAGGAAGGAGGCAGGCCTTCAGTAAGTATTGTGAATGCCATTTTCCCATTTTGAAAAGATTTAAAGACTTCTTTGTTATTATGTATTGTCTGATTTTAAATGCAAATGACATAAAGTGTCAACAATGAAAGGAAATGTTTCAGTGTTTCATTTAGTAGGAAAAGAATGTAAGAAAGGAAAGTAGTACTGAGTTCTTGGGCTATTTTTAGAAAGAAACTTTTTCATATTTAGTCTTTATTGAGCTGAAGAGAAATTTGCTGTCCGGATGAATTATAATTATAACAGAAGCTTCTAATGTCATCTTCATCAGTGAAAGGGGTTTTGTTCCAGTAATCCTTCATAATATATACTTTTATCCAAAAAATTCTGACTTACTGCTGTTATTCTTTTAACTGTTAATAAGGCACCATCAGAATCTCAGTGGAGCGTTTTTGAAGGTACACTGTAGTTTGGTATTAGTTTTCAAGCCAGTATTCACTTGACCTATGGTAGTTTTTAGTCATACAAAAGAGAAAAGCTGATCGAATTTATCCATTGTTTAATTTCACAGACGTTTCTATAGGTTTTTCTACTGCTAGTAAGCATGTGCCTTATGACACGTTGCTAAAATGCGCATGTTTGTTCTAATGATTTACGTGCTGTGAGAGTCACAGCGGTGGGTGAGAGCGGAGATGGCTTTCATTACATAAGGGTCAGTGCCGGGATTCCTCGCGTTTGCCGATGCTGCGATTCTCTTCGTTGCTTCTACCCCGTGTGCCTGGTGAAGTGATGCTGGCTGTGACCGGTTATGACCTTGGGTGACAAATCATGACTAGCTCTGTGCAGAGTCACACGGGGGGGCCCAGGTGCCGAGAAACAGAGCAGCCTTGTAGCCGCAGGAGGAGTCCAGGAGCCGAGCCTGCCGGCCCTTGCACTGCTGTCCCCACGCCTCAGGTGACCACACGTCTCCCCTGCAGTCCTGTTGGGGCCACTCTCTCCGTCTGCCTGTGCTCTAATCCTAGTCCTCCTCCTCTTGAAATAGTTACAGACCCAGCGGCTCTCACAGAAACGCTGCCAGTTGCAGATTTATTTCACTGTTACTTTCCGCCGCTCAGAAGCTTTAAGGGATTTCTCCGGGACGCAGAGAAAGGGTCTCTTTTCTCTGGGACCCCTTCACTCACAAGGTTTTAATGGGTCCCTTGCCTGCATAGCTAAATGGGAACCGCGCTGTGTAACAGGTTGCCTTTCGGCCTGGAGCTGGGATACTCAGTGATCTATCACATCCCCAGAATGTTCTCTCTCTAAAGGAAATCTTGTCGGAAGAGGCTGTGTTACCTGAGTTCCAGCTGTTGATCTAAAGTGGAAGGAGCCGTGAGCGGAGGGATGCCTTCGGCCTCTGCCCATCTTAAAACACAAAAGTGTAACATAATGGGATCTGGCCCTCGGGAGGAATGCTGATTTCTCAGGAATACCGGGACTGCTGTCATTATTTTATCATGTGTTAAGTACCTCACAGCACATGCAGTGTGCAAAGAAAGCGTAGTTCCAACCCACGTGCTACAAGGAGTTAGGACACAGAAACTGGGCCCCTGACATTCAGTAACTACACTGGCAGAAAATATGAGCTAACGAAGAAAAGGGAAACAAGATGAGTCGGGTGGGTTGAGGATACTTCAGCATTCAGCTCCTCTGGGCTTTTGCCAGAGACGATTAGGACACACAGCTGTGCCTTCCCTTTCCCTCCCATACCTGGGAATGATGCGGACAGATAACAAGACTGACCGCAGAAGCCTTGCCCCCCACTCCAGTTCTCCATTGCAATCCTCCTGCAAAGAGGAGAAGCTTCACATTTTTGCTTGCCCCTGAAACTTATTATCATGTGGAAAGGGTAAACTTGTTATAAAGTCCAGTAAATATCAAAGCATCTTTCTCCATAAAATGGTATGTAGATAGAAATCTCGAGTTCCAGATTCTCCCTTCCTGAACTGGTTTGCAGTTCAAGAGTTTACTTAATCCTGCACTGGCTTAGGATATTGAGTCAACTGTAATATTAGTTAGGGAAATGCCTTCAGCTTCTCAGAAGGAAGGCGTTATGAAGATCTACTGAGCATTACTGCAGGTCGTAAAGGAGTTAGAAGCACATGAATCAGAAGAAGGGCTGATAGGCAGGCGTGGGTACTGGAGAGTAATAACATGAGTGGCCTGCATAGTTCTGTGAGTCACCCCCTCCTGCATAGTTCTGTGAGTCACCCCCTCCCTCCATGCCCAACCTCAGCCAGTCTCTAAGGTTCTGGGTCTCTCATGGCTCCACTAGGAAAAGAGACTTGGAGAGGGCTCCACAAAGAACTTCCAAAAAAAAAAAAAAAAAAAAATTGAGGGTTGGAAGGTGACACCTATGATAAGAGGGTGGAGAACTTCTATTATTTAACCTGGAAGAGCGAGTAAATGACTGGGAGACTCTTGAATTGTTCTTCAGGTATATGTGTGTCTCTCTGCCAAAGAATGATGACCCACTGGTATCTATTTCCATCAGGAATAAAAGGATCAGGTCCGGCAAGTGTTAGGCTGGAACAGAGGTGCTCGCTGTGGAGGCCTGGTTCCTTCATCATCAGTTCCGCCTGGGAACATGTGAGAAATGCAGATTCTCAGGCTCCACTGAGGCCCTGCTGATCCAGAAACCATGGGGTGGGGCCTGGCAGTCTGTGTTAAAAAAGCCTCCCAAAGTGATTCTGGTGCACCCTGACATTTGCGGTCTGCCTGATGAGATGCAAGGGAGGAAGGTATTATAAAATGGGGAATCTGGATGCCAGAAAATGTAACCCTTTTTCCTGAAGTCATCTAAACCTGGGATTATATTTGTTTGCAGTGTTTTCAATGTAATCGCTGAAGTCAGGAGATAAATGACCTCTCAGAGTCCCTTCCAGCCCTGACTTTGCTCTGGATTTCCTTTTCTCACTTAGAGAAGATTAATAATTAACCAGGAAAATTTTGTAATTACTTTTCTGAGCTAAGACAGTGTTCTTCTCAAATGAGGCTCACTTGAGATAGTGTGAGAATAATAATATTATGTTAGCAGATGGGTCTACTGTATGTTATCAGCGTTACTAGATAGACCCTCTCCTCTCCATCTGACCTCACAGCCACCTGAAGGGAATCTGGGCAGAGGTAGTGTGTAGCCTGCATGGGGCAGTGGGGAGCTTGATGTTGGTTGATGAGTACTTTACATCACAGACTGTGGCCAGGTCGATCCCTGTCTTCACACGGCCCATTTCAGAAGAGAGGGAGCTGGAGGGAAAGTTGGACCCTACCCACTACACCCTAGGAGCAGGAAGCCACGTAGAAGGCCCTAACAACAAATCTAAGCACAGTGGAATGTGTTATCTGTGTGTCTGCCCTCCCCACTAGAGATGGAGGAGAGGGACACATTTTATCTCAGCATTTTTGTATCTACAACAGATAGCCCAGTGACACACATAGGATGCACTTAATACAAATAAATTCTAATTACTCCATTGGAATGGCTAAGGCCACAGTGAGTGCTCTGCCTTCTCCTCTGTAATGAGTTCTCTAGAGTCAGGAAGGTGGCCATTCTTATCTTTCCCAATCAAAACAGTTACTCCTAGGAGTCCCCTATTCATCTCTCTTCTCTCTCTTCCCCCCGTCTTTGTTTGCACATAATAGAAATGCATCTGAATTTAGTTATGTCTGTGCCCTTTCGTATATTTTCCTTTGTGGTTTCGATTGACAGACGTGTCTCTGGTTGGAAACACAGGCTGCCTGAGAGTGTCTATTTGTTATACATTGTATAGCATTTAGGACAATAAAACCTTTTTGTGATCATAATGAAGAAGGGGCTCTCTGAGGACATGTTTTGCCAGTGCTGTTTAAAAAGTGTCACACTTCCTGCAGGAGCTAGATTTTTTAAAATAATAATAAAGATAAACATAAAAACTGTCACACAACTAATGCACTGTCATGTCTGAAAAAGACGCATCCTACCTTAGCCAGGGAATCGTGGCCCTAATATTTCAGCACTTGAAAATGAGATCTGGCCAGGCGCGGTGGCCC